CCCCTAAAATCATTGTTTCCGTTATTTTCACTAAAGATGAAAATAGAAAATTTTATTCCCATTGCCTGAGTTGATGCTGATTTTCTCTATTAATTAGAACTAATGACTTACAATGCTAACTTTCAACAAAGCAGATAAACCTTCATAGATAAATGCTGGGCTTTAAGGAAGCAGACCCTTTTACATGAAGCCGATAGCCCTGCACCAAAAGTTCATTCATTCATCCAAGTAGTATTTATTGAGCACTTATTCTGAGTATTCTGCATGACGGATGCATGGGGAATTCAAGAAATATGGTCCATGATCATTGGCCTCTGGAAGCTGGCTATCTGATGGGACAATGAATGAGATATAAACACGAATAATATGAGATGGGGATATAGCCAGTACTAGGTGAATGGTACAAACAATAAGTAAAATACAATTGCACAGGGAAGAGGCCATTTCTGAGAACAGAAATTTAAAAGAAAAAAAAAAAAGGCCTTTATGGACTAGAGCACACTTGAATTGGGCTTGTAAAAATGACTTGGCTCTTGGTAGACAAAGTGGACAAAAATGACCTGAGTAGAAGCTCAAGGAAGATGGCAAAACGTGGATTCCGAGAACATCAAACAGACCAGTTTGGCCCACGTGGGAAATGTAGATAAAAGTCAGCTTATGCGGGCTTCACTGTGGAAAACGAAGTAACCTTTACTGCTTTTTTCATTGGCTCCCCATTATCTACCACACAATACTGCAGTTCCCTACTCTGCTCTTCAAGGGCGGCCATGATCACTCCCTTCATGTGGGTTATGGACGTAACGCAAAGGTTGCTTACAAAATGGAACGTTCCTTTCCTCCTGCCATACTGAGATAGTTTGACCTTAGTATGTCTTAGCTATTGAATGAATGAAACAGTTCTGTTTCCAAATTCTGTAAAATTTGGAATTATCTCTGTCCCAGGAACCACACAGTTTAACAGGGGGGACAGGCAAAGGGCTGAGGAGAGGCCCTGAATTCAGGTTCAGCGCAGAAGCGCAGAGGCTCGGGTGCAAGGCCTCGGGGCCCAGGCAACTGTCTGGGAGGCCAGTGAGCACAGGCCCAGCAGCCCGGGCCTGAGGCCTTGTGAGGCTCTGCTGTGTCTCACATCACTCTTGCTGGTTGCTTTTGCCTTTTGAGGTGATGAAGGTACCAGAGAAACAAAATAAAGGAGACATGAGAATGGAATAACTAGTCAAATATCAAAGTGTAAGAGCCAAAGGGAGTATTTTCTGGTTGCCACACATTAAATTTTTTCATATAACTATATTGGCATAAAGAATAATTCCTGGGTACATTCCATTTGTCCTTTGTTTCCTCCCTTGTATGATTATATTATTATTGCTGTCATTAAAAGTGCATCCATCAGACCTGGCTGTCAGAGAGTTGCATTTACTTTGTGCCCACAAGCAGTTTTGAGGTAAATCTCTTGCTTTAGGGCATTAGTTGATCAATACAGACATCTATAGTGAGCTATTGTTTCCCACCCCCTGCATGACTCCATTTTCCTAAGGCATTCTGGGGATCTGGTCTTCCTTTCAATAAGAAGTCCCTCCAGGTGGGATGGGGATACAGGGGAGAAGGTACCCCTGCAAAAGAACGTTCCTTCTGCAGTCCCCTGCCTTTGCAGGAGGGGCAGCTGGTCCAAGGAAAGGCCTTGAAAGAAATATGGCAACTGCTTGTCACCCCCAGCTCTGCAATCTCCTTCAGGGTAGTCTTTGTTCCCTTCCTGGGTTTTAGTCCGATCTCAAGTCCCATTTTCATCTTTGATGTTTACGGGACCAACATATCTGCAGTCCAAGGTGAAAACCTCTCTAGGATTGCCTCTAGTTACTCATAAGGAGGGAGTCTGTCTCATTAAATTCTGTATTTGGAAGACTTAGCAGTGACAACACACTTGGCAAGTGGTCAGTATCGCTGAACTGAATTCCTAAAATGTGAGTTTAATGGTTTCTCCTCTATTAAATTATCCCTCCCTCCCTGCCTTTCCTTTCCCATCTTCCTTCCTTCCTTCCCCAGCCACAACTCTCTGCTGTCTGAATCCGCTCTGGATTCATTTAGACATACCATATTGTATCAATTTCATCTTCTTGGAGCCATGTCTGCCAGAACCTTCTTGCCAACACCAAACTGACCTGATGATCCTCTGCACCCGTAGATAAGGAGACCCTGGGAGCTCACCTCATCATCCTGGAGATGTCCTTTCTTTTCTGTTTCTTGAATCCCACGAAGCCCTTTGGTTTGGTTTATGCTCTCCCTTTGGTCTTTTAGTACTTTCCCGATAAAGGGTGCATGGGAGGTAAACACTTGTAGGCTTTGTGTGTTGAACATATCTTAATTCTGTCCCCTTAGTTGTTTGATCAAGATACAGACTTCTACATTGGAAATTATTTTTCCTCAGAAGTTTGAAGGCATTGCTCTATTTTCTCTTACTATCTTACATTGCTGATGAGAAGTCTTATTACTGATCCTTTGTCTGTAACCTGTTTTTTTTCTCTCTGGAAGCTTTTACAGATCCTCTTTGTTCTTGGGGTCCTGAAATTTCATCATGATAGGAGTCGGCAGTCTACTGACAGTTACTGTGCTGGCATCAGACCCGTACCAGAAGCAGAGGCTCTGGGCTCTCGCTTTTTGGGTTCAAATCCACTGCCACCATTCTCTAGCTTTCTGACCTCGAACAAGCTACTCAAACTTTGTGCCTCAGTTTCCTCACCTTAAAATGGATAAAAAAAACAGTACCTACCTTGTAGGGTTGTTGTGAGAATTAAGTGAGTTAATATCTGTAAAATGCTAAAGCCAGTGCCTGCCACTTAGAACTACTATTTAAGCAACAGTTTTTATTAATATTTCAAATACAAAAAAAAAAATAATTTCCTAGAGTTTCGCAAGATTTCCTTGACCCTGTGCCTTGAATGGAAATGTTGGCCTTGAGAGGGTGAATGGCTACACAGAGGGAGAGGGCCTGAGTCTCTGACGTGAAATGAAATTTCAACAGGGCAAAGCTGATAAAGAACAAAGCGAATGCAAAAAAAAGCAACAGGTGATTGTTATTGCTGGTGAAGCACTCCCAGACTATGGATTCTCAGCTCAGGACTAGAGGAATAACAGGTAAAGAAAACACAGAATCTTTAAAGAAATCTAGTCACCCCAAACTAGGATTCACATATGCTCCCTGAAAGGGTGTTTTCATTTTTCAATGTAAAAGGGAATATCAGGACAGAGATTCAGAATGAGAGTAAGAAGAACGGGAAGATGCGCTAGAAATTCTGTGTCTTTATGAATGAGAAATATCTGCTGGTGATGCTTTCGTTGTTACTCTTTATGGTTAAGCCAGACCAACACACAGGCATCGCCTAATTTCTATACTAGGAAATCAAATAGATGTTTCCCTCCCTTCTAGGAACCTGAAATTTGAACATATAAAGAGTTCACAAACCCACGCTCAAAATGATCTATTAATAGGCACGGTAATTCAAAGTAACCAAGGAGCCCCAGTTAATGAGGGAAAGCTCTACTTTACCGAATACTGCCAAATAATACGTTTGGAATGAAAAAAAAATGTTTAAATCACTATTTTGCACCACTCTTATGAAATAACCAATTTAAAGATCATTAACAGATGCTAAAACCACTAGTTGAAAGGGGATGGGAAAAGGAGTATTTACACAGTGCCAAAGTATCGTACATAGAATACTTACTACTTGTGAAGAGATGTTTACTTTACAGTGGGGTGATCTGTGGTCACCAGATGATCCCAGTAATTAGACACCACATCAGTAATAGTGGGATACACCAACATGTGGATCCCAATGTAATGAATATGAAAACATAAAATCATCTATGAAATATACTTGCCAAAAGTCATTACCCTGATTCTAATTAAGCTTTTAGATCTAAATTCTATCTTAGAGGACAGGACACAGAGGAACCAGTTATATGATACCATGAGGAAAACATCAGGAGAGTCAGAATGTGTCTTATCTTGGTCAAGGCAAAGTCTAAAGAAAGGGCAAGGAGACTGGTCTAGATTATAAGAGATTTAAGAGATATAACCATATGTAATGCATGATTCTTGATTGGATTTGGGTTGGAAAAGATATTTCAGGATCACTGGAGAGATCTGAATATGGAATGAGCATTAGACATATTATACAATCAGTGTTAATTCTGCTGGGTGTCATAATAGTATTGAAGCTATGTAAGAAAATGTCCTTATTGGGGGAATTACATGCTAAGGCATTTGGGGGGGGGGGTTTCATGATGTAATTTACTTTGAAATAATTTGGCTGGATAAATACATATGAAGCAGATATGACAAAATGTTGACTGCTGTTGAATCAAGATGGAAGGTTTATGGATACCCATTGATTCCACTTTTCTATCTGTTTGGAAATTTTATATTAGGAAGTTCAAGGAACTGGCTTGCAGATGCAAAATTGAGTAAACCTGGCCTGACAGTGTTTTAGGAAGGGCAGGCATGCGGGTCTCAAAGGGCCACATTTGCACTGGGCTCCCTGGAAGGAGCTTTTTGCTCTTTTGAATTCAAGCAGAGCATGGCGTGACACAGTCATTCGCTCCAGAATGTATGAGAGTTTGGGAAGAATTAATGTACTTCCCAGAGTGCCCAAGTTATTGTCAGGAATAATAACTCACTGGCAGCATCAGACTGAATAATTCATGGTACGGCTACAATGGGAATACTCACGTGTGGTTGTTGTTAGTTGATTTCTCCCCCCCAAATTAAGTCACCTAAAGTTATCTCCTTTACATGAGGTATTTTGGGGATGTGTTTTCTTTTTTTAACCAAGTCTTTCTCCCAAACAACACGAGGTAATTGTCCTATTCGCTCACGTACAGATGTAGAATAAAGTCAAAATGCAGAATTGCTTCCTACAATGCTAAATCGTTCTTAAAATATAGTTGTTGCTTCAGAAGTGAGTTGGCCGCTCTCACCAGTTCCTCTGTTTCCCCCACGATCCCAGGGAGCTGGACTGTGCCATGTTACGTCGTCTGGAGAAAAGGATTCTGGTTGGTCTCCCCAGCCGGGAGGCCAGGCAAGCCATGATCCGCCACTGGCTGCCCCCTGTGAGCAAAAGCAGAGCTCTGGAGCTGCGCACGCAGCTGGAGTACAGCATGCTGAGCCAGGTAAGCCACCCTCGAGGGAGCACCTGCAGGCCAAGCAGCCGCCACACCAATCTTCTGGGCAGGGTCCTCTCGGGAGCTGTTTTGGGGGCATATTCCTTGAGCCACTTAGAAAAGACCCGAGCTGCCCCAGCAATGCGATGCGCCTCTTCCTCATGAGACGGTGAGCTCTTTGTCCCTCAGAAACATTCACGCGGGCAGAGACAGCGCGATGTAGCGGCCAATAGCATAGGGTTTCGACCCAGAGCACCCCGTGTCAAATCCGGGTCCTGCCCCTGATCAGCTGTGTGGCCTCAGGGAAACCCCCGACTCTCTAAGCCTGGGTCTTCATCTGCAAAACGGGTAACTGATATGCCACAATGGATTACCATGATGATCCAGTTGTTTTTTTTTTTATTCTTATGTTAATCCCCATGATGATCCAGTTTTTACAAATGGAAATGGGGGTCCATGCCTGCTACCCTCACTGTCACTGGTGTCACTCCCTCCTGAGTGGACACTTGAACATGTTCTCTGTTCATCTGAGTGATGAACATCTCAATGATGTTCCGGAGGTTCCGCAAAGGCAGGAATGATCTTATTCACAAGAACAGAAGTGTCTACCAAATTTGATCCATCCTTGGATTTGGGCACAAGGGCCCCATTAGGCTACCATGGGTGGTCTAGTCCTTCACCAGCAGCTGCCAGCATGTGTCTGGATGGTGTTAGGAAGGTGTTTACTGCCCAGCTTCTCAGGTTATCCAAACACATAAGCAACCCCTCTCCCTCCCAAACATTACAGATCTGGGAATCTTTGTGTAATGTTCGTGAGGGACAGACACAGATTCTAAACAGGGGCTCTTTTTAAATTTATTTACATTCATTAGCCAACATATAGTACATCATTAGTTTTTGACGTAGTGGTCAGTGCTTCATTAGTTGCGCACTGCGTCTTGCCTGTAAGAACGTGATCACCACCAGCACTCTGCCTGCTGACCAACGGCTGGCCTGCGGCTGTTTCAGGAGACTGAAGGCTACTCGGGCTCAGACATTAAGCTCGTCTGCAGGGAAGCAGCCATGCGGCCTATGAGGAAGATCTTCAGTGCACTTGAAAATCACCAGTCAGGTATGGTGGGAGTCACAGCGACTCTGGGAGAGAAATTTGTTTAAAAACCCAACTTTCACCAGCAGATGGAGCCTTGCTCCTGTCCTTGGTGGCTCTTTGCACTTGCAAACGTTCTTTGGTCAAATTGTCCTCCATGTACTCATTTCTCCTCTGGTGTTCTGTTTTGGATCAACTTTGCCCCAGATGATAAACTCCTTAGGGCTTGGGCTTTTATTTCTTTGGCACGCTGTGATGTTGGGCTGGATCCATTTGGGGCACTATATAACTCTTAAACACTACTTTGATAATGATACATTTAAGTCATATTTTTTATCTGGGCTTCAGGGGCTGGGATGCACATTAAAGAATTTCTTCCCCAGCTCTCTTTAGTCTTGCCTTTTGCTGCATTAACCATTTAGAATGCTGCATTATGCATTGTCTTGAAAAAAGGTCTATTAGCCTTTCAAGAGCACAGATCATCATAAGGTCAATTATTGTGCTGTTACTGCTGTGTTTTTATCTAGAGAGCAGCAACTTACCTGGAATCCAGCTGGATACAGTGACCACTGCCGACTTCTTAGATGTGCTAGCTCACACCAAGCCTTCAGCAAAGAATCTGACTCAGAGATACTCAGCCTGGCAAAGTGAGTTCGAGTCTGTATGAAATCACATCTACCCTGACCTGGCCACAGAGACAACCACGGAGGCCTTCCGATTTATTAGGTTAAGCAGGAGAAGAACATGATGATTGGGAGAGAAAAGAGAAAAATTATCTTTGAAGACTGAGTTCGTTTGAATAACTGCACTATTTTGGAAATAAGAGATATTTTTGTTAATTTTTCCTGATTGATGCCCGCAAAATACTGAAGATGTCAATTACAGGTGTATATGCTCCTAGTCACACAACAGAGACTTTTCTCACACTTAGACTCCATACAATTTGATGAACAGTTTCTTACGGTGTTCCTTGTTTGTGAATTGGTGTTTTCATTTTGAAGAAAAAGATGTAGTTTGGGAAGCTGTGTTGGAATGCACAGTGGCTCCGAGTGGGGGGCCCATTAGAAGCGAAGCGTGACAGACCATCCAACCAGCTGATGGGCTTGAGGGTTGGTTAAGAATAGGCGCGGGGAAGGACACGCAGTGTTTCTTCTGACAACATCCTGAGTGTCATCAGCTCTCCCTAACTCTGACCCCAACCAGTTTTCTCAGCAGCAAAGCCCTAGCAGACTAGCTCCCCCCCACCGTG